GTACTGGGGATTGAACCTGGGTCCTTGTGCTTGCCAGGCAGGCACTTAGACTGCTGAGCTATCTCCTCAACACCTCAACTATATTTTTAATTGTGTAATTAAATTAATGAAAGCAGGACAGAGAGGTGGAACAAAATGTGCCTTTTCCCATTCAGTATGATGTTAGCTGTGAGTTGTCATGGATGGCCTAGTATTGTGTAGAGGTATATTTCATCTGTTCCTCATTTGTTAAGAGTTCTGTCATAAAGGGATGCTGAATTTGTCAAATGTTTTTCATTTCTATTGAAATGATCTTTTTTTAGTCTTTTATTCTGCTGATAAGATGCTTCATATTTATTGATTTGTGTATGTTGAACCATCCATGTATCCCTGGGACAAATCCCTCATGATCATGATCAGTGATCTTTTTAATCTGCTGCTGTTCTCAGTTCAATGTTATTTTATTGAAAATGTTTACATGTGTGGTACAAGAAATGCTACATTGAGCTTTTCAAGTTGAAAAGCAGGGCACTAATGAGTAACATGAAAGCATTTGAAAGTGTAAAACTTACTGGCAAATGTAAGATAATGTGATCTATTATTCAACTATAACGAAATAGAAACTATGAGCCAGCTAATAATGAGTAAGGAAATTGAATTAGTAATAAAAAGCCTACCATCAAAGAAAAGCCCCAGAGCTAGTGGCTTGTCTGCTGAATTTTGTCGCAGTTAAATAAAAGCTAATACCAGTTCTTCCCAAATTATTCAGAGAAACTAAAGAGAAGGAAATACTTCCAAATTCATTCTTTAAGGCCAGCATTACCTTGATACCAATAGTAGATAAGGATATAGCAAAATAAAAATTAAAAAAAAAAAGAAAAAACTGCATGTACATATCGCTGACCAACAGAGATGTTTCTCAAGTTTTTGCCTGGAAATATCTTTATCTCAGTTCTGAGTGATGACTTTGTTGGACAAAGTATTTTTGATTGTCAGTTTTTTCTGGGAACACAGTAATCCCTCGTTACTTAGCAATTTGACTTTCACAGTGAGCAGTTTGACTCACTGTTGTGTGAACTTTCAAAAAATATTAATCTAAATTATTTATCATAGATTTTTGTTGTATTGTGGGATTTTGTGGCAGTGTATAGTACTATATACATATTTATATGCATAGTATTTATAGTTTTGATGATTTTTACCTAAAAATTTTAAAATATATAAAATGTATTAAAAATATTAATTCTAACATTGAAATAAATTATACTGTTTACAGAATTTATTTCTTTAGTGAATGAATACATGCTGAACCATAAAGTATATGTATGTTGTTAAAATTACATAGGTTTGACTTTAGAAAATGGTTATGAGCATTAGAAGTGTTTTAGTACATATATATACTAAAATAAATACAGTATCGCTACTTCACTGATTTTCACTTACTGTGGGAATGTAACCTCCACAATAAGTGAGGGACCACTGCACATCATTCTACTCTCTGTCTGACCTGAGAACTTTATATAAGGAGAAGTTTGTTGCTAGGTTTATTGTAACTCTTTTATATATAATTTGGTTCTTTTGTTCCTTTCAAGTTCTTTTTGTCTTTGGACTTTGACAGTTGGATTACAGTATGTTATATAGTAGTCTTATTTGGGTAGAATCTAATTGGAGACTTTTGATTTTCTTGTATATTTATATCTTTCTCTCGTTTTGGAAAGTTTTCTGATAGGATTTCTTCTAACAAAATGTTTAATTATCTACTCTTGAACTCCAGTCATTTGTGCATTTGTTCTTTTGAAATCCCATAAATCCTGAAAGTTTTCTTCATTTATTTTTTACCTCCTTTGGCTATGTATTTTCAAATAATCTGCTTCTGCTTTACAGATTATTTTGTTTTTTTTTTTAAATTTTATTTATTTATTTATTTATTTTATTAGAGAGAGAGAGAGAGAGAGAGAGAGAGAGGTGTGTGTGTGTGGCCAGCTCAGCCCACCAGGGGGCGGGGCTGGCTGGCATGTGGTGCTGGGGGATTGAACCGTGGTCCCTGATGCTTTGCTAAGCTTGTTCTAAGTAGGTGCTTTAGACCACTGAGCCATCTCTCCAGCCCCTACAGATTATTTTGGTTGGTTCATCTGTTTGTTTTTGTGGTACCAGGGATTGAACTCAGGACTTTGCACTTGCCAGGCAAGCGCTTATTCTGCTGAGCTATCAGACAGCCCCTGGTCTGTCTGTATATTGATGCAGTGTTGCTTTTTTTTTTTTAAGGCTAATCTTGAACTAGCAGCATTCTTCTTGCCTCAGACTCCAGAGTGCTAGGATTACAGCCATGGGCCATCATGCCTGGTCTGCCTTTAATAACAACAACAGCATATTTTCAGCTCCAAGATGTGTTTGATTTTTTAAAAAAATAATTCAATCTCTTATTAAATTTCTGGGATACATCTCTGAGTCTTTAAAGTTTGACAGAACTTTCTTAAAACCATTAGCTTGAATTTTTTTCAGGCAATTAATCATTTCTGTTTTATTGTTAGAGCCAGTCACTGGAACCTTTTCTGCATTTGGTGATGTGGTATTTCCCTGATTATTCTTGATTTTTGTGGTTGTTCCTCTATCCCTGTATGTTGAAGAAGTAGGTATGTATTCCAGTCTTTTCAGCCTGACTAATGTCCTTCAACAGCAAACAGCTCTGAAGTTGCAGAACCACTAAAGCTGGTGCAGTCTTGAAAGTGTCCTAAGCCCAGGCATGCCATGACTGGTGAAGGCAGGACTAATAATCCCTGGACTAGAATTGTATGGCTATTGAGGCCAATCCAGAGTGGGAGGTGGGAAGGGTTGGGGTTAGGAGTGGCAACCTAAAGCCCATGGCTACTTGGATATGCCAGTTGCTGAGGTTTGTATGAGCTCAAGCCCTTTGCACTAATTGGTGATATAGACTAGAGTGCAAATCCATTTCCCAGGGGCTGTGTGCTTCACTTGGTGCCAGGGGGTCAAGAGGCCCATCCATGGGAACCAGTGTGGAATCAGACAGTGAGTCTGTCTGGTGCTAGATTTTTACTATGGCAGGCCCAGTATTGGGGTTCAAGACAGAGTCCCAAGCTTACTTTTTCCTCCTTCCCCCAAGCAGTTGATACCTCTTTCTGTGCTGTGATGTCCAGGATTGAAGGAACAGTGACATAGAGTGAAAGTGTTCTTCGATCCCTTTTCAGTGCATCTTTTATTGTTTTTATGCTATAACTAGATACTGTGATCTCTCATTTGGTTTCTTTAGCTCTTGTAAAAGTAATTTAATGTAATGGATAGTTGTTCAAATTGATGTTTTTTCAGGGTATGATGGCTGGAGAGTCTTCACTCCCTCTTGGGAACCCTTATGGATTATGGAACCAGGCAGGGAGTGTAAATTTGGATTCTGTGCCAATTTTTACATGGCTCCGCTGTGAAGTTTGATTTTCATAGGTACCTCCCTCTTCTCATGTAGTGTCATCAGGGCAGATGATAGCTATCTTGCTCCTCAATGAGTGTGTGAGTGGAGCTCTTTTTCACATTCCTTTCATGTACTGAGCAGCCCTTTTTAAGAACTTGTCTCAAAATAGCAATATTACTACTGGCTTTTTCCTGGGCATCTGTCTGTAGACAACTGCAAACTGCTTTGATGTCAGCTGGAGCTTGTATCCCTGGCTTTAAATTTTTTCCTTTTGTGAACCTAGGAATTTTCTTTTCTCCTTCTTGAATTTATTTATTGTAATTTTTCATATTAAGCTGGCATTTCATTAATATCTTTCTGTCTGTCTGTCTCTCTTTCTCATTGTTTTGAGCCAGGGTTGTGACTTAGGCTGGCCTGAACTCACTATGTAGTCCAGGCTGGCCTCAAACTCACAGCAATTCTCCTGCCTCAGCCTCCTGAATGCTGGGATTATAGGCATGCACCCCCACAACTGGCTGTATTATTTTCTTTTTGAAAATTTTATTTACTTATTTATTTTTAAATTAAAAAAATCTTTTATTATTTGGTTTAGGGTCCTACACTATGCAGCTCAGACTTGTAGTGATCTTCTTGTCTCAGCCTCCCCAGCGCTGAGATTACAGGTGTGTGCCTCCATGCCTAGTGTCAGTGGCAGGCAAAGCATGCAGTACCAGGGGTCCAACACAGATCCTTGCACTTGTCAGGCAGGTGCTTAGGCTGCCGAGCTATCTCCCCAGCTCCTATTTATCTTTAAAAAGGTTGATGCATGCACACAATCTGAAGTTAGAAGGATATAAAGAATATATGTATCTCCTTTGTACAATCCACCTGCCCCAGTTTCCCTTCACAGATATAATTATCAGTTTATGTATTCTTCACAAAGTTGACTGTACACTAATTCTTAAACAGAAGTTTATTTTTTTACGTTTTATTTTAAAGAGAATAAAAAAATAGGTAAGACATTAGAAGCAATACACAGTTAAAGAAAACTCAAGATGATAGGAAACTTCCACATAGTGTTTATGCTTTAATTTTATAGCCAGTTACCACTATTTTTCTGTGCTATGTAGTAATTATATTTTCTTCTGCTCCGAGAGATTTTAAGTTAGAGCTTACACTAATTATGCCACTTACATGTTTATTATATATGTGAATAAATTGTTTTAACTTTGTTTGGTTCAGAAACCCCTCAAAATGTGACTAAATAGTATACACTAATGACAAAACAGTATAACCTATTGATTACAATATTTTAAGTTATGTGAAATAATAAAATAATGGAAATCTTGCTCTAATTTCTGGGATGTAGTAGAAATGATGCTTTAAGATACCAGGAGTGTAATTGAAACACTTGTGGATATCCTTAAAAATAACCAGTGTGTGCTGTTATTTTCATATGTGCAAATTGCCCAAAGTAAGGATGTCTGTTGCTAATAATGGTCTTCTTTTTGAGGTTTTAGCCACAGTTTGTATCATTGATGACCTTGCTGTAGCTTGGTGATGTTCAGTAACATGGAAAGAAGAAATGGAAGACTATGACCTGATATGTTCTCTTCCTTAGATCAACCTCTCCACTTCTCCTACACCTGCACAGTTAATAAGCCGTTCCCAAGCTTCCAGTTCTACCAGTGGCAGTATTACCCAACAGACTATGTTACTAGGGAGTACTTCTCCTACTCTAACGGCAAGCCAAGCTCAAATGTATCTCCGAGCCCAAATGGTAAGATAAGAGCTTTTCAGTGTCTAAGGATGTAAGAGATCAAATATTTCTTTATTCGGTGCAGTGATACATTTTTAATACTTAAGAAATGGTTAGCATTTTTTTGTGTGTGTATACTCAGCTCTTGTACATTTATCAGTATAATGAAAAATTCTACTTTGATTTAGTAGATGTTCTTAGTAAATAGTAATTATTAGTATTTGGAAACTAATAAAAATTCTGTAATGTAAAAGAATTATTTTTAATATTAAATTTTAATTTCAAAGCCTTGTTTTTCAAGTAGGTTAGGTTATACCACCCTATTCTCTCAGCTACTTGGTAGCTTGAAGCAGGAAGTTCTCAAATTCATACCCAACCTAGAAAACTTAATGAGACCTTGTCTCAAAATAAAAATAATAAAAAGATGCTGGGGATGTAGCTCAGTGGTAGAGCACTTGCCTGACATAGTTGAGGGCTGGGTTCCATTCCCAGTGCTGTCAGTTCAGACTCACCCCCCCCTTATACTTTAACATCTCTGAAGTTGAGATATATTTTACAATTGATTTATGGTATAGTTATAATAGACATCTTAGATTTGACAAAATAGTGAGAAATGTTAAAAACCTAGTTATTAGCTATTAGAATATATATCCCAAGACTATGTCATAATATCTCGATTGGAGTTCTTATAATTTAATGCATAATTCTTAGCTTTGATTTCCCATTTTGTATTCTATTGTGTTTTTATACACATTTTGATTTTTTAAGTACATGAATATTGATTTGGTTATTTATTTGAGTACCTACTGTTTTTCCAATGTAAAGGAATGTAGAAATTAGATGACTTTCATATATCAAGATATGTAAAGACTTTAGGAAAGTCTACTATGCATTCATTGTTGTCCAGTCTTGAATATGTATCTGGATCTTCAGTTCTTCATATAAACTTGGGGAGATTCCTATTTAAAACAGGGAAGCATAATTATAAGACTTGCCCCTTATGCACAGATGATTCAATAACTATTAACATCTGTCTGTCCCCCCCATGACATGTTCTATACAAAAAATGTGCTTTAAGGTAATAACCAGTTGAAGGGGGTGCTATTTGCCATTTTTAACCCCTAAAATTTGTAACTTTATATGGTTCAGTGCTTTCAAGCTGTTTGTATTGAGATTTACTATTTTGTAAAAGCTGTCCTTTGTTGTTGAATTCTGTAAAATATTGAACTGGTTTTAATGATATCTTGTACTAACGTTTAAAAGCTCCCTTAGTATTTTAATTTATGCAATAATAAGAACCAAATAGTTCTTGAAGTATTTTTAGAATATATCTTTTTTGAAACTACTGTCAGAGTGTACTAAGTAAATAGGATAATCTGTGGATTCTGCTGCTTTAGAATTTAATGATGTTTAATATTAAAAATTTGAAAAGATATAAGTAAATAGAATGTTTTTCCTTTCCTTAAAATGATGCTCTTATGTTGTCCTATTTTAACATTGTAACATTTGCATCTAGACTATTTCCGAAGTTTTAAAATTAGGACAACCTAATTAGTTTTGTCCTGTAGTAAGTTTGAAGCTGAAAGAAACATTGTAACTTATCATGCAGTGTATTTAACCTTACATTGAAGATGACTAAAGAGACTTTTTATTTTTCTGTTTTTCTCTGAAATTTAGTTTGTGTCCCAAAATAGAGGCTGTAATTTTCTATTTTTAACTTTTTATTTTAGGAATACTGATACAGTAGTTTGAGCTAGGACAAATTTAATACCTTTTTTTTTTTGGGACAAAATTTGGCATGAAGATTTCATATCACCAAAATATATTTTCTTCCTTAAGGATTGATTTATTTTTCTACTCATAGAATCATGAGATGTTTCAGAACTGTGTATGATTTTTTTGAGTTTTTATCAGAAACTTCTCTTTGTCATGTAAAATGTTTTTACTTAGGATGCAGTGCTCAGCTGCCTTGTCCTTCCGTCACAAATTTCAGTCTCTTGCTTGCTATACATTGTGTGTGGGACATGTTCTTTTGTCTTAGGGTTTTTTTTTTCTTTTTTTTTCTTTCTTTTTTTTTTTTTTTTGGTTTTCTGTCTGTACAGCTGATTTTCACCCCCGCTACCACTGTGGCTGCTGTACAGTCTGACATTCCTGTTGTCTCGTCGCCATCATCATCTTCCTGTCAGTCTGCAGCTACTCAGGTGAGCTTGTCTGGCTTCAGTGTGGTACCTGAGGTCTGGGTCTTCAGATTAAAGATACGTGTTACATTTGCATTTCAGCTACTGATGGCTCCAGAGCTCTTTTCATGCATTTCAGATTAAAATTTTGTCAAATATAGTAAAAACTTCAAGAAAATATTTTTGCTTTATAGAATTATGATACAGTTAAATACAGATATTTAGATTATTTGACATCCGTATGAAGACATGTAAACAAATGTTAAGGTTAATGAAGGTTTTGCTAATGGCATTGTATTTTTTATTTTCTTTTATTTTAGGGAAGGATCTACAGGGTGTTCAGGGTCTCACTATTAGATCAGACTCATAGTGATCCACCTATTTACAGCCTCCCAAGAGCTGGGATTTTGTGTGCTACCATGCCCAGTCTCAATTACTGTCTCAGCACTCCCCAGGGGTAGGGCCAGTATGGCAGGTCTGAGGATCAAACCCCCAGCTCCTGCACTTGCTTGCAGGCACTTTAATCTGCTGAGCTATTTGGCCAGCCCCTGGCATTGTATTTTAGTTTTATTTTAGAACAGATTTCTCTCAATATGTGAGATGTATCCTTTATTGTGGATCGTTTTGCAAATAGTTGGTAATAAATAAGTCAGGGTGGATGGTGGACTTTAAGTTTAAGATGAATTAAATTGGGCAAAACATTTTTTTGAAGGAGAGCATAATTTTTATTTTTTAATATATTTGGTTGTTAAAAGGTCTCATTATACAGCTCGAACTCATAGTGATCCTCTTGTTTTCTGCCTCCCTAATGCTGGGATTACAGGCATACACTACTATGCCTGGAGTCTGTGGCCAGCTTAGTCTGTCCTGGGGATGGGGCTGGTGTAACATGTGGTTCTGGAGATCAAACCGCAGTCCCTGTGCTTGCCTAAGCTTGCCTAAGCAGGTGCTTTAGTCCACTGAGCTATTTTGCTGGCCCCACGAGAGTGTAATTTTGACTTACAAATTTGGGCCAATTTTACGTTTTAAAAATTAAGTACAGTACATTTTTACTTTTAAAATAAACCTGGGGGCCAGAGAGATGGCTCAGTGGAATAAGTGCTTCTCTGGCAAGCACAGGGACCTGAGTTCGATCCCTGGTTCTGCAAAAAAATAAAAAAAATAAAACAAAAACAAAAACAACCCAAAACCTGAAATGTTTTGAGCACCAACAGGAATGCACAAGTCAAAAATTTCACATTTGGCTGGGGAGATAGCTCAGTAGAATAAGCGCTTGCCTGGCAAGTGCAGGGTCCTGAGTTCAATCCCCGGTACCACAAAATAAATAAATAAATAAATAAACAAACAAACAAACAAACAAACAAAATAAACCTGAACTTTCTCCTCATGCTATTCATATATATAAATTAGAAGTAAAATGTGGATCTAAACATAAAAGCAAAATTATTAAGCTTCTGGAAGAAAACAGGAATATATCTTTGCAACTCTCGGGTAGGCAAGACTTTCTTAGGACACAGAAAAGCATTTACCCGTACAAGAGAATAATGATAAATTGGATCTTATCAGAATTAAAAACTAGGCTTTAAAAGGCATCATTATGGTCAGGGAGACAGCTTAGCAACATAAGCACCTGCCTGGCATATGCAGGGTCCTGAGTTCAATCCCCAGTACCATTAAAAAAAAAAAAAGCTAAAAGATCATTATAAACTGAATAAGCAAGCCACAGGAAAAATATTCACAATACATATATCTGACCAAAAAAAACTTATATCCAGGATATATGAAGTATGATTATAATAATATCATAAGCAACCCATTTAAAGATGGGGAAAATTTTTGAAGAGACACTAGACAAATAATATGAAAAAGGCCAATAAACACCTGAAAGAATGCTCAACAAACACCATAAATCTTTACAGAAATGCAAATCAGTGAACCAGGAGTGGTGGCACATACCTACAATCTCAGCCCTAAAGGCTGAGGCTGGAGGAATACAGGAATTTAAGGGTACCCTGGGCTATATTGTGAGTTCAAGGTCAGCCTGAATTAGTTTGACCCTGTCTCAAATGAAAAAAAGAGAGGAGAGGGAAGGCAGGCAGGCAAGGAGTCAGGGAGGCAGGCAGGCAGACAAATCAAAACTATAGTGAGCATCACCATACACTAGGATGGCTGAATTGCAGAAGACTGGTAATGGCACATGTTTGTAAGAATGTGGGGCATTGGTTATGAGAGTACAAAATAGTACAATTAGAAAACAGTCTTACTGTTCCTTAGAAAGTTAAATATACACTGAACATGTGACCTAGCAACTCTACTGCTGAACTTTTACCTTGAAGGATATCAAAGTGTACCAGTACGTAAAGCCTCATATACAAATATTCATAGCAGCTCAGTTCAGAATAGCTGCATTGTTATGGCTTGTGTCTAGATGTCCTTCCAAAACCTTACGTAATCATTGGTGAGCTTTTTCAGAGGTGGCTGGATCTAGAGTGTGTGATTGATTATTGGTGCAGTGCTAGAATTAAGGGTGCAAGGATCAAGGCTAGAGTGCTATTCACCCTAAGGGTTGGTAGTTTGAACACAATGTAAGGGAAAGAAAAGAGGCTTGCTGTTAGTTTCTTGTAGTTTGTGTCTTGTTGCCTTCTGGCTGCCATGAGCTTCTTTCTCCTCTGTGATGTCCATCTGTGAAACTACCCTACCTTGGAGCCAGTTATGAATTGAAGCCTCTACCAACTCTGAGCCAAAATAAACCTTTCCTTCTTTAACTTTGGTTGTCAGGTATTTTGTCTCAGGAATAAGAAAAGTAACTAAGACACCACATTGGAAATAACCAAAGGTCTTTTATATGCTGAATGGATAAACAAATTGGTATATTCAGAAATAGAAAGGAGTAAGCTATGGAGTATCTCAGAAACATTACATTTAGCAAAAGAAGCTAGGTTTGTATCTTCTGTAATTCCATTCATCTGAGATTCTAGAATAGACAAAACTATTATAGATTACTATGTACACAAAGGAGGCCAAGGGTAGTGGAGATTGGGGAGATTGGGAAGGAGCATAAGTAAGCTTTCTGGGTGATGAAAATGTTTTACATCTTGATTACAAAGGTTATGTGTATAATATTGTATATATATTTGTAGAACTGATTTGTTCATTTATTGCATTATACCTCAATAAATTTGATAGAAATGATTTAGATTAAATTTGAAAACAAATAGGCTATTGTATATAGTATTACTGTATACAATTTTGTTATTTTTCCATACCTTTAGAAATTGAACTAGACTGCATCTAGAAATTGATGTATATTAGGCATCGATAACCTCTTATTTTTCACTTAATATATCAAGCATATGGTAAAAAGTGAGAAATAAGATAGTAATAAGATGGTGATGAGTTAAATTTAGGTTTCTCCTAACCTGCTCTGTGACCTTTCTGCAATTCCTTGACAGTCTTATAATTAGCACTCACTAAATGTTAACTGTTTTTATTATTATCCTACTTAACCCTCAGTTTTTTTACCTCATGCAAAATGTCAAGTCAGAAAGTTTCCATAATTAGATCATGTGAAAAGCTTAGGCAAAATGAAAGTTGGATATAAGAGTACCATAATGTTATTTTAGAAAAGATGAATTTTGTTTCCTCAAATGTGAGACTGTGTCAAGGAAATTGAAATGTGATCTCTTATCAGGTAAATTAACTTTGTGATATACTTTGGCAGCATAGTTTACATAGTTGGAATTAGTTAATTAATTTATTTTGACACAGAGTCCCACTAAGTAGTGCAGGCTGGCCTTGAACTTGCTTATATAGCCCAGGCTGGCCTAGAACTCACAGTGATCCTCCTACCTCTGCCTCCTGAGTTCTGGGATTACAAATATGCACCACCATTCCTAGCTGGAATTTATTTCAGTTGTCAATATTTAAACTAAGGTGATCACAGAAATAGCCATATTCTAAAATTTAGATATTCATATAAATAATATATATCACATATATTGTATATACATACATATTTTTTCAGAATCTCAGAAAGCAACAGGAAAATAAGAAAAGAATTATTTAGTGTTCATTGTGTCAAGTCTTTATATGAATGTGCTATTAGGTATTTGAAGGAATGCTTTCAATTTTTTAGATTATTTACCTTTTGGATATTATGTAGTCTGAAGCTCACTTGTGGCAAGTGTTAAATTCTGTATTGTGTATCTCTTGGGAGATTTTAATGTATCTCTACTTAGATAATTGTTGACTTTTTTTGGATTAATGTGAATAGATTTTAATGTTAGCCAAAAAACCCCACCCCCCAAAAAAAACATAAATAGAATTAGGTACCTCCAAAAACACCCATGTAATATATATTTTAAAAGTAGATAATAGGAGAATGCCACAGACTTAATATTTGCAGCACAGAAATAAATGTAGGAGGCAAGAGCTTACTAACCAGAATATCAGTCTTTGCAATTGTGAAGCAAGCTGGACATTGTGCTAAGCCAATATGACCCAAATTCAGTGGAATAATCCTTCTGGGAGTGGGGCACTCCCTTCCTTCCTTCCTTCCTTCCTTCCTTCCTTCCTTCCTTCCTTCCTTCCTTCCTTCCTTCCTTTTTTTAATATATTTAGTGCATGATCTACAGGGTCTCACTACATACACTTGTAGTGATCCTTCTGTTTTCAGCTTCCTAAGCACTGGGATTACAGGCCTGCGCCAACATGCCCAGTCTCAATGGCTATCTCAGTGTGGCTTATGGGCGGGGCTGGCGGGGCTTGTGGTGCCAGAGTTCAAATCCTGGCTCCTGCACTCTTCCTAACCAAGGACTTTGTGAATATTTCCTGGGAAGAAGAGTGGGATTTTATTGGAGCTCAAAGGATGGATTATACTTAAGGAGACAGCTTTGAGGAAGAACAGCATTGAGTTAATAGATTGAGCAGGGGCTCCAAATGAAGAAAGTGCAAGGAATGTTTAGAGGATTGTAAAAATAGTTTTGGCAAGAGTGAAAATTGTGGAGCTGGAGGAATAGGAAGTGTAGTACAAAACAGTGATCTTGGTTAATGAAGGGCTTCAAGTAGCAATCTGAGGAATGTCTTGATGCATTTTATTTTACATTAAACTTTAATAATGTTATTGTTGGTCATTTATGTTAATATTGTTGTAAAATACTTTAGAAAAATCAAGTATTTTTGATAATGCTCCACATAGTTTCACTTAGAAAGTCTTGCAGGAGCTTAGAGTAGAAATGATTAAAACTTTGACTTGTCTGACCTGAACATTTAAAGTACCTGGAAGTCCACACTGGCCCTACCCCTGGGGCACACAGAGCCTTTGACTGAGTCCAGGTGTGGTGGCGCATACCTATGATCCCAGCACTGGGGAGGCTGAAAACAGGAGGATCACTACCAGTTCAAGCTGCATAGTGAGACCCTGCACAAAAAAACAAAAAGTACCTGGAAGTGACTAAATACCTGTGGTACTTAGAGAGAATATAGCTTTGGAGCATCAGTTAATGATATAGCTATAGACACAGAATATACACAAATGGAGAAATATTTATAAAGCAGCTTTTATATCATTTAGTTTGTCCCTTTGGGATCTGTTTTACTTCATCTTCCTTCCCAGGGCCAGTGTTAGCTCTACAAGTATTTGATACATTTACTCCATATAGAGAAAAAATTAGGCAGAAATTTTTGGTCTTACTGTTCAGAAATATTTTAAATCTCAGATGAAAGTAATTGGGATACTCTGTGGCCCCATTCATTTGCAGTGGTTTACAGTATCCCCAATTATAGACAGCCATGCACAAATCCATTTCAAGACCATTTGTATTTTTTTCAGTTAATGAAAACTAGTTCTCAAAGGCAATATATTCAATGATAACCAAATTTAGATTTTAAAAGTTTTCTAAAAATGCCTTTCATGAGTATTACAGTGGAACAAGTGATTTGATGAATTAATTTTTGTATAAGATTAGTGTTCCCTTGCAACCTCTATAGTTAAAGCTAGTCACTTTTAATTCAGTATGTTGCTGGGTAACTTTTCTCATCTTCGTAATCCATTTATGATTC